CCCTGTGCAGGCTGGTCCTCACTGAGGGGTGCAGCCCTAGTGGGCTGAGTAGGGGATGCAGGGCTTTTAAGTGATTCTTTTGCTGTCCCCACTGATGAAAGTGATTCACAGGGCTGTGCCACATGTCCCACCACCGGCTCTGCTGTTCTCCAGGACAGCAGCTGCACACACAGCCCTTCAGGCTGAGCCCCCTCTGATGGTGCTGGGCTGCTCCAAAGGGACCAGCCCTGCCCTAGGACACAGCTCTTGCTTTGCTCTCCCCAGTAAAAAAAACCGACTCCACCCCCCTGGACTTTCAGCCTGTGGAGGAGAGGGAATCAGGGACTGTAAAGGAAACATTGACTGTACACCAAGCATTTCTCACTGGGCCCTTGAGAAAAGTAACTTTGCCAGCTCACAGCGTGTGGGATCAGCAGCTGGCTTCCACCAGGTCCACCTCAGACTTGCTCTTGACTAACCACATAGTCTCAAGTGCTTCCAAAGGCTGCACAGCCTTTGGAATCGTGCTCCCCCTTTGTTGGGTTACCTCCCACAGGACACAGAAAAGGAGAGAGCAAAGGATGCCAGTGTCAGTGACCCAGACCCCAGCTGGGATCACTTACATTTGCAGGTGACCTTCACCTCTGATGGTCAGGCCAAGGCACTGACACTGGCACATCTCACTGCTTGCTGGACCAGAAGTTTTAAATCTTCGGATGGAAAGCACGTGATAAAATGAACTCTAATTTTTCTCATGCTAAGGGTGACCCTAGAATAAAAAAAAAAAAAAAACCACGATAAAAAGCTCTGACCTTCATGACTAAGTGGCTTTACCTTTCACCTCCCTGGCACAGAGATCAAAACCTTTTCATCCAAGCTATAGATTGTTTTTTCTTTCATTAAATAGTCTCGATACAATACAGTTTTTGACCCTGGTCATTCCTCGGCTGCCTTGAGAAAATCGATGCTCCATGTGGTCAGTTCCCCCTCAGCTGTCCCTTGGTCAGAGCAGCTCTGCAGAGCTGCAGGAGCCGCTTCCAGCAGCCGGGAAGGCGCAGGCACCGCTCTCTGCTGGAGCAACGCTGCTCTCTGCTGGGGAACCGCGGCTCGGGCATGTGGGGCCCGCGCAGCTGCGGCTGTTCGGCTTTTTGGGGTCAGCACGGCGTACCGAGGCTGGCATGACCCCTTGTTATGTTTAAGTAAAGTAACGTTTGTGTTTAAGAGGCAACGGAACACAAAGCATTCCTACAAACACACACACGTGTCCAATCCCCTTCCAGCCACTGCATGCTCAGTAGGAGAGATCAAAAGCAGATTTCATCATGCAGAAATAGTCACCCTTTAACACAGCAGCTCCAGTGTGCTGCTGGTTTGCCTCCCACACACAGGAGACAAATGGTCCAACCCTTCTTTCTTGCCCAAAGGGCTTTATTTCCTTTTTCTAAGAGTCTTCATCCACTCTTGGCTCTCACCACAAGGAGGACCAAGTCTCCAACTTCCTTCCACCTGGATTTCTGCTCCCTTTGGGCCACCTCCTCCAGCTGCCCCCAATACCTATTGGGTTTCAATGTTTTAGCACTTCAGTAGTGTCCTGAGGCCAGGCAGAGACCCCTAGACCTTTCTCACTCTGCTGTCCTCAGCCCTGAGCATCAGCAGTGCTTTCAGGGGAATCAGTCTCCCGGGTGCCCACCATTAACTGCTGTCAGGGAGGTGGTTACAGCTGGGCCTGGTCACTGAATTAGATGTTGTTGTCCTTTCAACAGACATCTCAGGCCTCCATGATCTCTGCAGTTCTCAGCAAAACTATTGAGCTTTCCCCTGATTTCTGGTTTCAGGAGACACCCCTGGAGATTTCATTGTTTCACATTTTCTCCAATCATTCCCAGGATGTGGCATCACATGGGCCAAGTCCAGAAGAATATAAAATTTCCATATCTTGTGACTCTTGCTCTTACCTCTGCTTTTGCTGCACAGAAAACCTGCCTGCAGCCAGTCCCTGTGCTACAAGGGAAGACCCTACTTCCCTGTGTCTGATTCCCTTTCCCTGGCCAGAAAGACACTCTGCCACTATATTGTCAGTCAAGGTGTCATTCCTTAAGTCCCCTGCTCCATGCACCTGAAATATGTCCCCTGTAGAAAGAGAGTCCAAGATTTTTCTGGCAATGGTCAATGTCAAAGGAAGAAGTTGCAGAGCCTGCAAATATCCTGAGGCAACTGCTGCTTAACTTGTTTGTAACACAATGTCTGCCCCACACTTTCTCCCTGGTATCTGCACCCAGCACCCTGCTGCAGATCTCTGGTTCCCTTCTACAAACTCAGCTGGCCACATCATGCCCCTGATGTTCCCATTTCCCCTCACAGACGTGAACTCAGCCACATACCTTGGAACCTGTTGATGTTCTCTGGTGTTTGTTTGTCACCTTTCTTCCTCCATGTGCTCTCTATCTCCTCAAGTGGTGTTTTTCACCACCTTTCTTATTGGACAGCTTAGGAGAGGACAGAGCAGGCTTTGTTCTCCCTGATCTTCACACTGTGACACCCGCTGACAAACTCCCCCTTAAAGTACCTCTGGAAAAGAAATCTTTCCAGGCAGTAATGGCATTGACGGGGCTGTTCACCACAGTTGACTTCATGAAAATGTCTTGGTTCCTACTGCTCAACCGGTGTTCAGCAAGACATGGTCCCCTGTTGGAGTCTGACAGTGTTCCACAACATAGTGTGGGAACATGCTAGGATCTCTCCTGTCTTTGCCACCTCTGTGGCTGCACCTGCTCCACTAGAGGAGTTGGAGCCTTGGACACAGCTCTGCTCCCTGTGCCCAGTCCAGCCCCACCACTTGGCCACGTGTCTTCAGGTCCCTTGAGAGAAGCAAGAGCTGGTGACTCCCTTGCAATTTTATCCAGTGGAGTGTATGAGCAATGCACAGAAAACCTCTAATGCTACATTGAGGACCAAAGTGATTGCAGGCTGGACATAAGGGAAACACTGAAATACCTCTGCCATGCGTCCTTTCCCTGGTCACAGTCGAGAGTAAATGCCTTTTGTCCAAATGCAATCTTTTCTTCTGAACAAATTTGGTCCCAAAATTCATACATTTTCTTGGGCAAAACAAGGTTAAGTCTGGATTTTTTTGACACTGGATTTTTTTCTCAGGTTTGGACCTCTGCAGACCTGTTGGGTCTGTCCAAACAGTTTGGGAGCAGCAATAAGTTTAATACTTGCCCTTAGAGTCAGAAGAGACTCCTGTGCTCAGACACAGGTATCACCGGGAAGTACATCTAATATGGAAAAAAGTGACAGTCTCAAGTGAGACATAAAACAGCTGTTTACTCAGTCAGATCTCAGTGTGTGAAAAGCTCACTTGAAGTCCTTGCCATGTTTGGATTTTTGCTAAAATCCATAGAAAAAACATGCAAGCTGCTGCCAGGGCTTTCTGTACAGGTGCACTGGCAGCTGTTCAACCCTGAAAGTGGGTGCTGATGGAATTAATGATGTCAAATGAAAAGAAACACAGACACAGACATCCCCCCAAGCCAAAAATGCGTCGACCCACCACCTCAGCACCCCTCCATGTGCAGAGCTGCTGGTCAGCTCACAGGGTTTGCTGTGCCTGCTGCTCTGACCTCAACAGAGCTGCAAATGTGATTGAGAATTCACAGAAGGATCTATACTGATGTATTTTAACAGGGAATGAAATCAGGGATTATTTGCTTTTCCTACTTAGCAAAAAAACCCAAAACCCAAAATGGAAAACAAAAAAACCAACTCATTTCCAAGCTGTTACTGAAACAGTAACAGGTTCTGAGGCTTTTAAAGAGATAAAAGGACAGAACAAAAAGCTGTTTTGCTAACGTGAGTAATGTTTTTTGGCATTTGTAATGAAGTCAAGCTACTGATTGCTTCTCCATCTAGGAAGGAGTAATTTCCACTGAAGAAACGCAGGGAGTAGCATTTCAACAAACAGTAATTCATCAACATCATTAACACACTCCTGCTTTTTTGCTCACCGCCAAACCCCTCACCCTCACCTTCCTTTTTCGCACTCATAAGAGGTGCTAAATTTTATTCTCCAGCTGATGTAAAATACACTGGGGCTGTGTTTCTCAGGCAGAGAAACTTCTTTGAAGCAGCAGAAAGGAGAGAGAGGGCCGAGAGAAAGATCCAGCCCTTTGCTAGGCTGCCTGCTGGCCAAGTGTGGTCTCCTCACCATGTCACCCAGCCTCAAAGGTGGCTCCAAGAGCCTCAGAAATGTGCACAGTGCTACAAACTCTGCTCAGCTTTCCCCGGAGAAGGAGTATCAAGATGGCATTCAAACAAAAGCCCTTTGCTCGAGCAATCAAGTCTAAAAACTGTTTTTGAAGGATTCCACCTAAGTGATTCAGCCAAGACTAACAAGCCTGTGGCATAAGGAAGGCTGGAGTTTCTGATTCCCAGCCCCTCATGGCTATTTTTAGCTCTGAAATAAGATAAACAGTAAAAATCAAAACCAACCAGACAACCAACAAAGAACCTGCTGAAAAATGGTTGTTGTGTACTTTGAGTTTTTTCCTACCTTTAAGTAATGATAGCGACAACAACAAAAATAAAATTAAAGACACAGAGAGAATAAATGAGTGATTAATTGTTTTTACAGGCTTGTCATCTGGGTGGTTAGGAAAACTTTACATTTTCACATCACACTCCCAAAGAGTGACTGTCCACCCAAAGGCAAGTGCTGGGCTTTCTTTTCAAATGTCTTTCATACCTTGATGTACCTACACTAGTTTTTGTGAAGCAGTAAGGGTACCACCCTTCTTGTTGTTTTTATGTTTATTTTAACCCATTCAGCATCATGATGAAAACATTCGAGTTCTCAGTAAATTACAGTAAAGGCAAAACAAAAAATTTGAAATACATCAAGCTGGAGACTTGACATTTTCATTCTGAATTTTAGATGGCAACTGACAATCTTTAGCAGATGTTGCCCTTGGTAATAACACCATCTTTGGATAACAAAGAACCAGCTGTCAGTAGTTCAAAAATCAGAGAAGGACAGAAAAAAACGCATTTTTATTGTCAAACTTGTACAGGCAAGGAAAGCACATTCCTGGGAAACAAATTGGCCCAAAGCAATGACAAAGCAATGATAAAATGAATAAAAAAGTATTTGCAAAATTTCAAGAGAAAATATACTTTTTCATAGATATCTAATTAGGTTAGTCTATTGTAGCATGTATCCCATGGAAAAAAACCCCAATATTGATCACATTGTCAAAATATGTCATAATACAAATATATCAAGAAGCTTCATTTTGTCATTCTTCACATTTTTTTGAGCATGAGAGAATGAATATTTTGATCTTATTTATAGTTTAGTAGTGCCCAAAGTGCATTGGAGATCATAAGAACATAGCAGGGTACAAACATTTATTTTAAGCTATCTTGCTTTTCAGACTTTACAGAGCACCCAGAAATGGCTGTTTGCCTTTTTTCATTGCAGAATAATAGCAGCATCTGTAAAGAGGCTAGACCAGAGCTCTAATGAATCAAATGGACAACAGCATGACTTTCATTATAGAAAAAAAACTCAGAGACATATTTTTATGGCTTAGAGGACAATCTGAAGTAGCCCAGAGACAATGTTTTTATATACTCTATATGAGCTTTCAGACTTGACCTAAAAGCTCCTTTAGAAGCAAAGTTATTTAAAATAATTTGATTTTTAAGTTATGTCCATAAACTATAATTTTGTCACAGGCAATGCCAAAGTGACAAGAGGTACTGTTAGCACTGTCATTGCTAAGTATTTTGTAAAATGAAATAACCCCTCATTTTAATACCAGCATTTGAGTCTATCTATTAAAATGAAACCCTAAAGTGAAAAATAAATAACCATGAGCTTTGCAGTGATTGATTGTTACAGAAATGAGAGCAGCAGAGGCATATCAAGGTTTATTACATAGGATTCCTTACACATTTTGGAGGGGTTTTGTTTTTTAAATCCTAAATCCCCTGCTTTGGGATTCTCTCTCATCAGAACATCTTTTCTGTAAAGTATGCCAAAGTTTCAGGCTTCAAGGAGCCAGCATTGCCATTCAGGTCTGTAGGACTCTTTCCCACAAAAACACATTTGAAGAAAACAATCATGAATAATAGCAAAAAATTTGCTGTCCCTAATCAAAGTTGTTTCTTGAGGCCAGGCACGGTTTGCTGACCAACTTTGGACAAGGATTTATTCAGCCTACAGCCTGGTATGAGATTCTAAGACTGCTGGGAGAGCCCAACAAAGTGCAGCTGCTGACGGGATGATGATTAATTTGATTGTCACCAGCACAGCTCTGAACATAAGGCTTGTTCAGGAGGCACATAAAAGGAAACCCAGTGCAGTTACTTGGGGTCTGCTGCTAAGAGAGCAAGGGATGCAGAAAAACAACTCCCAGCACTACTTCAGACTTCAGCCAGCCAAAGCCCAAACCAGCCTCTCCAGCTCAGCAGTGCTGTTCGTACTGGCCCGTTGTCTGGGGTGGGTATGGCGTGGTACAGCTGGCCTGGGGAGGGTCACTAGCACATGGCTGCTCCCTTGGGGGGTGTGAAGCTGCCATACCTCCCCGAGAGCAACAAAAGGACAGTGGGATGAACAGAGGGAGTATGTTATGGAGGTGTCCTTCTGCCCCACCAATCAACCAGCTGTTTCTTCAAACCACATTGTCTATTTACACTGGCAGACACCACAGAGGTGCACTGCAAAACCAGCAGGTTGCAAAGTGGGGGTGTCCAGATCACGAAGAGATACACTCTCTGAATATCAGCCGGACTCCATGATCTAGGCAAGAAAATCTACGGGTCAAATGATCAGCCACTGTCTACTGAGAGTAATTTCCCTTACTATCTACAGAGGTGTGCAGGTGAAATTATTACAAGACTGCAATTACTTTGTGTCAAATGCAATGACAGTACACAGGATGCTGCTAATCATTTGTAATGTCTAATACAGGCATTTATGATATTGTATGACAGGACTCGATTCCTTATGTTCTTGCTCCTTTTGTCATCACTGAAAGTCACTCTAAAGAGACTCTGAAATGTGGCAAAGTCAACTATCCAACTAATGTATCAATAATGTTTACTCTTGTTTTGCACATCACTGCACAAACTGAACTGTGATGGAGGCACTTTCCCACCATCTTGTGCCTTCCAGCTTTGTAACACAGTGCTGCTTGTCCACAGGTGTATTTGAAGGAGTGTGCTGGGTTTGGCTGGGATAAGAGCTTATTTTCTTCAGAGTAGTTGGAATAGGGCTGTGTTTTGGATTTGTGCTGGACACAGTGCCAGTAATGCAGGGATGTTTTCATTACTGCTGAGCGGTGCTTACACAGAGTTAAGGCCTTTTCTGCCTCTCACCCCACCCTGCCAGCAAGTGGACTGAGGATTCACAGGAAGTTGGGAGGGGACACAGCCAGGACAGCTGACCCCCACCAAGTCAAGGGGTGTTCCATATCAGCATATAAAGCTCAGAATATAAAGCTGGGGGAAGATGAACAAAAGAGAGACACTTTCAGAGTGATTGCATTTGTCTTCCCAAGTGGCTGTTACTGGTGACAGAGCCCTGCTTTCCTGGAGATGGCTGAACACCTGCCTGTCCATGGGAAGTGGTGAATGAATTCCTTATTTTCCTTTGCTTATGTGTGTGGATTTTTCTTTACCTTAACACACGAATTTTTTCTCTTTTTCTCTTCCAACTCTCCATTCCACTGGGGAGGACTGAGTGAGCAGCTGTGTGGGGTTCAGCTGCTGGTTGGGGTTAAACCATGACAAGGAGGTGTCATGCAGGAGGCAAGATGAGCTTTCAATACCCTCATGGGTAATGAAGATTCCTAAAACCATCTCAGTCCAAGTCTCCAGATGATACAGTCACACGTGCAGTAAACACTCCTCCTAGAGAATGATCAGGCAGCACTGCCCATGTTTCAACTGAAGCTGAAAAAAACAGCGTTCAGGGTAAAATGTTCTCCAGTGGCATCCACTTGGAGTGCTCACCTGAGCAAAGGTAAAACCCAGGCTGTGGCAGAGTTTTATGCCAGAAGGTGAACTCAAGATAAAAATGGGAAATAGTGCAAGAAGTGTTGAAAACTATAATGAATTACACATTCTTACAAAAAATACAGAAGAAATAGTTTTGCCAGGGATTCCTTCAACCAATGGGAAAAAATAATACCATGATTTAATGAAAATACTTCAAAGGATAAAGCATGAAATCTAGTCTAATCTATTTTAATTTGTTAAAGATTTGAATTAATTTCAAGTGTATAAACATATATGTCCCCATGATAGAGCTAGCCAATACCATTTGTCTTTTTTCTTGTACCTCTGAATGAGAATTGTCTGCAATTGTTTGCAGGGAAGGAGAGATAGATTGTTTACCTTACTGGCTCAAAAGAGAATTTGGCTTCCTCTCGAAACTCAAAGAGAAAAATATAACACTTCTCTTGAAAAAATATTATCATAAATCAAAACTTATTTCCCAAGTAGTGATTTTCAGGGCTCTTTTCACTGGAAATCTTGGGTTTCTCAAGAAGCAATCCTTATACAAGTTATGATGTCTTAAACAAAGACTCTTTAAGAGTGCTGTGAAAGTTCTCCAACCATTATTCATGCTATTACAAATAATTTGAAATTTATAGAACCTCTGTTTCCCCAGGCTGGCACAGTCTCCTTATTACAAATTAGTTCCCTGCCAAAACTGTTTTGGTTTTATCTGATGATTCGAAGCAGTTACTTTGTAAAACTAAAAGAATTTATTTATTAAAGTAATCCACAACTTGTAACAGGAAAAAGAAGGAGGCAACTGGTTTCATGTGAGACTTCAAAGACGAAGTACATTGTTATAATAAGGAGATATTTGGAGTTTGATCAAGTTGATACTATTTATCCATTAAGATCTGATTAAATATTTTAATTTTAGAGAAAATCTATTTGTTGATTTCCCAAAAGCATGTGAGGGTCCTACAAACAAACCAGGTACTAGGAAGCCCTTCCAAGGCTTCCTTACAGCAATATCATTTGGGGAATGCAAACCTAGCTGTAGGTAAATATTCACAGCTCAAAGTTACAGTCAGTGTCCAGTGCTATATAACCATAAATATGATATTAGATGTAAGCCTAAAGGTGTGTGTTACCTCCCTGATTTTGTTTATTTATGTGTGTAGTGTTATGTTTGCATACTGTCAAGTAAAGTTTGGTAGTGATACAGTGTGGACTCTCTCCAAAGTCTGACTACCTCCCTAACTGCAACAAAGTCTTACATTTTCCAACAGTCCCCCACAAAACAGTTAGCAAATATGACCCGCCTCTAATTAACATGTTGTTCTGAATTACAGCCTCACGGTAAGAATCCAATGAGCTCAGCTTTTATGGAGCTGAATCCGTCCTACAGACAACACGGAGATTTGGCCAACGTAAAAAGTGGGCAACAAAGGCAAAGTGCGGAATTTAGTATTTCACATTACTGCCATCTCCTATAACATAGGAATCAAAGACTAGAAAAAAAATTTCTGTGAGCGGACTGATAATTCCCAGAGTACCAAAAAGGGTGCTGTGACAAAACTAACCACTTGCACAGTGATTCATTAATTATACAAAAAATCTAAAATACACGGCATAACTAAACCAAAGCTTAGGTTCTAACTCGATCCTGTTTTTCAGATTAAGCTCTTGCTTCCTTTTCACATGTTCTGTAATCTTTTCTTGTATTAACCCTGGTAATTATTTTTACATATTGTGTATTTTCTCAGTCTGCAATAGAGAGGCAAACTAAGGGAACATCAACAGAAATTTTGAAAGAGACGGCAGGATATTTATATATACTGGTAACACCCAAAAGGACCTATAAGGTTCATGGGCTCATTACACTAGGCATGAAGCAAATAAAAATGAGACAAGTTATTTCCCCAAAGGTTTGCAGTCTCAGGCTTCTGAGGGTTGGAATGAACTGATAAGCCAATCCCCCTTTCTCTTCAGTCTTAAAACAATTTGGCAGCGGTCTACTTCTTTCTCTGTTTTCCAGAGATTAGAATCACAGAGAAATGGAGCAGATACTTAATTAAAGTATTTCCTTTTTTACGTCATTTTCTGTTCCTAACCTCTTTCTACATCTGTCTTCACTGCATAATATCATAATTCTCCTTCTCTATGTGCTTCCTCCTTTCTGGCATAGGAAGTCCCCTTTTATCCAGGTTTCATTCAATGGTATCTTTCTAATTCTTTTCTCAGTACAGTTATTCTAATGAGAGTTTCATCGCATTTCACAGAACAATCCATTTCACAAGCAGAGTCCTACCTTCAGCTGTAGGTATTTTAATAGTGAGCAGATAGTGACCAGCATACAGAAAGTCCCACAGATGGGTGACAGGTTTCTGTTGCCTGGGAAACACTCTTGTTTGCAAAACCTAGAGTTACAGCAAAAATTGTCAGATTGTGTAAAATTAAATGGCTCCTATTATGATAAATCTAAGTTCTGTGCATGTTTGTTCTTAAAACAAGGGTTGGATCATTCTGCCCAGCCTCAAAAGGTTTCCTGCAATACTGGCACACCATTGTTCTATGGAAAGTTTACAGAGCCATTACTTTCTTGGTCTTGTTCTAAATACATTGCAAAACAAAAATACTCCACAAATCCCCCTCCTTCGGCATGTTCTCCACAAAGCCAATTCACCTGAAGTGTTTAAATTGCTGTCAACAGGAAGCAATAACGATGTACTGCAAAACACCAAGGGACTGTAACCAGGTAAGAGCTTCTTTTAGTGGGCACACACAACTGAGAAACTGTAGTAGCAGCCCGTAATAATTGTCACTTCTGATCACCATGGGAACGAAACAGAGGTCTACTTTGCAGGAAACAGATCAGGAGTGACTCACCGACTGCTTGGGAAGCACGATTATTGAGAATTGCTAGACTTGCGTGGGTGACAGGGAATAGTGATGCCATTTCAGCCATAGTCCAATATAGCACAGACTCCTCTGCTAGACAGGCAGCATGAAATCAAGTAAATTAGTACCTTGTGTTCATTAGAGACAAATTTCACCTTTATGAATTTCTGCAGCATCAGCCTTGTTTGGACTCTTTGCAATGAAAGGATTTCATTTCTAGTGAATGAAGTCCTAACTGAGCTTACAACAGCATTTACCAGGTCTTCTGCAACCCTCTTAGCGACAGATTTAACCCTTGAGCAACACAGAGGTTTAGATCTATGTCACATCCTCTGAACTACACTAGCATGTGGATGGCACACACAAGATGGGCAGTGCCTCTGTCTGGACTAACCAGACACTGAGAAGATGGGCCCTTACAACAAAGCTCCAGGTCCTGCATTAAGAAGAAAGCAAAATAAATGCACTGTCTTATCAGCATCATTCAAAAGAGCAGCTGTCTTCGAGGTGAAATAGTTTGTACTAGACCAAATTTGCAATCCAAGATATTTTGATTGTTTTTCAGCTAATCACAAACTGTAGTTTCAATCCTATGCTTTCATACTCCAGAATTTTTCAAGAGTCACTTCTCAGAGTTATGTGAATTCAAGCATATTTCTGGGCTGTCAAAGAGTCTCAGATCAGATATTCTGAGATCATAAAGCCCTAATCCACTCTTTGCTGAACTATTTTCACTGGCTCCCCAGCTCTGGCTGGAGACAGAGTGACAACAGCAAAGGAAATGGTGTTACAGCCCCAACATTTAAATGTCTCTTCTTCATAAATACTATATTCCTTAATAATAACTCTGTCATTCAATGGCTCCTTGTGTTCTGTTTTTAATTCTCACACTGAACCATCGTTTGAGCGCCTAAATATTCTCCAAAGATGCCATCAAATGCACAGCTGGAAGCTGGCATATAGGGTTTCTCCTCATAACAGAAATATCTACAGGTTGTAAGTTTTAAAAAGCAGATACACCCATTTCTCCATGAAAGATCATGTGCTTTTATTAACAAAGGCTGCTCACCAGAGAGGAATTTTGATGAGCAGAAAATCAGTTTCCTAAGTGGGATTCAGCCAAGACAGAATACAGTGTCCTGTCAAGCAGTTTCTAGATCTTGTCCTTGGGAAAACAAGAGTCTGCAAATCAGAGACAAGGGCATGGCCCTGGCTATTTAGTTTGATGGGTACAGGCCTGCGTAGCATAAATAAATGTGTATCTATTTTAGAGACTCCAGTCCATGATGCTGAACACTTGTCAGTTTATCAGTAAGCTTTTGAGAGTAAATGATGCAGAGGAACAAAAACATTAAGAAACCACCGTACCTCCCACACATTCAGAGGATGAAACATTAAAAGACCAATTCTGCAAAGTGCTCCAAGCTTCTCTTTAGCTCTGCACAGGAAAAACAAGCAATGACGTAAACCAAGTAAAATACCCTTTGCAACTGTCCCACCACCAACTGGTGGGAGCTATTCATTAGCAATCACCTCTTTCTTTCCTCTGCCCACGCATGGGGGTTCGGATGTCAGGAGCAGAACAAGTGATGTTCGAGTTCAGCCCTGTCCACCTTTCTGATGATTCTTCCCAGCAACTGAAGGATAGAAGTGGACAAACAACTGGGTTGATTACCGGCATCTGTTGTTGGCTTTTCGAGCACTAGCTGAACGATGACGTATCCTGGGACGACTGGTGTTTTTTCTGCTTTGGGAAAGGCAATCGTGATCAGGTCAGGCGTGGGCCTAATTGCTTTGTACTAAATAAACTTGTGCTGTGCAAACCATTTAGACCATTTGTGGAACACGTGAAATGGAAACTATACCCTTATACTATGGTAAGCAGGTGAGAAGCAAGCCTGCATGTTTATTACTCAGTGCTACTTGAGTTCTCATCAGCTTGGCTTGCAAGAACAAGACTCAGCAGATAAAAATCAACAGACATTCATTCACACTGAGATATTTTAACACCACATCTTAATCTTCAAGCTTATTTCATCTTGATTTGAGGTTGAAGGGGTCAAGAATGAGATGCATATTTGTCTTCAGGAGCTGGAAGCCTGAAATCGTTGATAACCCAAGTAGCAGATTTCTAGAGAATAGCAATAAATAATGTCATAAATACTTAAAAAATGGAAAAGCAAGGAATATTTTTAAATATCTCTTTTTGCAAGCCTCACATCAAACTACCTCTATTTAAAAGTCAAAGCTGCAAGTTACTGGATATTATAGTCAAACCTTGTTCATTGGTCATGACAGGTATCAGTTAAATGGGCAGGAATTTCACGGTTCACAGTGGTTTACTTCTTCATGTCCAAATTTTCCGGTTGGCTCTTTTTCTTTTAATTTTAAAAGTGGTCATTGATCTACAGTAATACATTAATGTGGTGTGAGTTGGGCTTTTTTGTTTATTTGTTTGTTTCAAGTGTATGGTATATCATGTCTCATTAAAAAATTTTACTAAAGAACTATGCAAAAGGCTTTAATAATTTAAATACTTGTTCAGCCATATGGAAATGTACAATCTGTTGTACTGGATTGTACTGGAAAACTTACAGTTGCTATTAACTTAATGAACTTTAAAACCTAAAAAATTTGCTAAAGTAATAATAACACTCATTCTGTTTCAATTTGCCATACTGGAGATGCTTATGGATGAGTCAGGGATACAAAAATCTAATAGTGAGCAAAAATCCTCTGAAATTCAGGAGGTTATAGTACTGGAGTTTAGTCCTGCCACCTCTGAAAATATTATCACTTCATCCTTATGCAAGGACGTATCTTATAATATTACATGAAATAGAACACATAACATAATAATTCAGTTCATTAGTAATTTTTTTACATGTAGTGTTTTATAAAAGAGATATAGCTGAAGAAAAACATAAACAGACATGTAAATATTATGATGAAGTACATTGTTCTTATTGAAATAAATTTCCTTGAGCAATATCTTTTTAAATGGCAAAAACTAAACATTAATATTGTCTCACTGTAAAAAAGTGACAGCAGTAATTATAAAGAACCTGATGATCTTATGCTTATTTCATCCTATTCTTAAGTTTTCACAGCATAAGTATTAAAATTTGCAATATTACCAAAAAGATGCAAACATGTGAAATATATTACTCTGAATTAAATTAACAATTAATTTACAGGAACCTACCATAGGAACTATTGAGTGGACAGTAGTGATGGTTTTCTATATAAAATCTATCAAAAATTGTTGGAGAAAATATATGAAGCGTAGCTGATAGCTGATGAAATCTGCAATATGGCCACAGAGAAATAAGTTGCAGATCATCAAAGTTAGCTCTTGTGCAGAAACATCCACCATGAGTTCACCAATTTCCTTTTTCACTGGAGAACAGGAGGAGGTTTCCATAATGCAACCATCATAGGAAACTGATGCAACGCTGTACTTTAAGCTTTACCCGTAGTTGGAACTTGCAACAGTTTAGATTTTTTGGTGCTCTGATCTCTCTTGCTCTCCAGAAGGCTACGTAAATATAAAAATCTTCAGCACAAAGACAGCTCTCTCTAAAGCACTGGCATCTGGTCTTAGCAGACTGTCAAAAAAAAAAAAAAAAGAAAGAAAGGAACAGATTTAGGTAGACTGGTAAAGCAATATTGGTAAAGCAATACAGGAACACTATGCATAAACCAGAGAACTAAGTTGTCACTAGAAGCTGAGAGATTTGCAGTCTATGACCTGCAGACACACATGCACATAAACTTGTGGAGCTCAGAGGACCCTTTTTAGATTTAAAGCTGATCATCTGTGTAAGACTTGAGTCAGCAGCCAAGCCCTGATATTGCATGAATAAAGGCAAAGTGCATTTTCAACTATTCTAAATAGCAAAAAATATCAAGTGATTGATTCTACCTGACCTCAGGCATTTAACTAAAGCACCTAGACAAAGACCTAATCCAGACTCTGTTTATAAGCCACAGATGGAAAGCTGCAACCTGAAGAAGGTGCTTCAGCCTTGACCTAGTCAAGAGTGATAGTGTTACTAGCTTAGACATCTCAGCCAGGTTACTGAAATCAGCTGTGAAGACCAACTGAAGGTCTTCCTGTTTAAGACTGCTGCCAGAAGAGCCCATGGAGTTTTAACCATTCATAGGATTAAAGACAACACTATATGTGTGTTCCACTCTACTAGGCCTGCGTCCAGCACTGACACCAGCCAAAACTGTTTCTGGCTCTTCACCTAAATTAGAAAAGGGTTCTGCTTCTTATGGAAATTGCTGGCAGCTTTATAATTTCCTGCTCCTCACTGGCCAGACATCAAAACAGTTCCCTATCAAAAATCGTCAATGTTTACTTAGTTCAAATTCTGAACGGAAACTTAGATTGTTTTTTTTTTCTGCAGACATGAACTTACAAAGGACTTTTTTTTAGTTATTTATTCAAAACTCTTAAATCAGGAGCAGAGCCCATAAATCTTCAATGCCCTATTTTAGCTGGTGGAAAATGAAGCCCCCACAGATTCTCCCATAGCAAGAGGAAAGCTCCAGTACATGGAGTACTGGAGTGACACACTTTGGTCCTCAAAGTCCTCCCCAAAAGAGAGGAGATGTTTTCTAACAGCAAATTACTCATTCCTGGAAAAAGCTTTGTCTGTGCAGATACTGGTCTAAGCACTGCTGATGTACTTCACCAGAGAGCAGTGTAGAGAGCATTGCTACCTTGTTTCTGTTCAACAAATACATGCCAAGCACATAATGTTAATTAAGACGTACTGTACCTCCAGCTGTTTGCATCTTGATGTCTTTATTTCCTTCTAATCTTAATTAGAAAACAAAAGACAAAGATGGTTAAAACATTGTAACACATCACTAATTTAGAATACCATTTAAAAAAAAACCTTTCAACAAAGATAGTACTGTTCTAAAACCTGCTACTATTATTTTGGTTAATAATGCTACTGTTTTTCATTTTCTTGTTTTGTAGCAAATTTTAGAAGTCAGTGACTAAACACTGTGCTGCATGCATGTGACAGCAGCATTTTGCTGTATTAAATCAAAAGAATATTACATTATTTCATAATCACATGTTTATGACTTTTCTATTAAGTACCCATAAACGTAATGCTTCTTCCCACTCTTCAAAAATATAACATGGAAAAGAAACAGTTTCTGCTGGCTTTCATGTAAGAACAGAAATAAACCTGAAAGCAAGCACTTACTAACTGTTATTACTGGAATTCACCACAATGCAAGTAAATACCTTCAAAACCAAAAATAGCGCTGAGGCCCTGCAAGTGCATCTATCATAGCTTCCTAGTCCTTACAGGGTTTTGTTTTCATTCAATTCACAGAGCACTCAGAGTGTGGAGAAGCTGTTCAGAAGACAATGTACCACACTGTCAGCATCTGCTCTAGGATCCTTCTGCAAAAGCGTGTTAAAATTAAAATAAATGGAAACAATCACTGTGACAATTACAAATAAGCCTGCTGCCTTAAGAGGTTCCAAGGCTAGCCAGTCTGTCTGAAATAATAATTGATTTTTAAAGGACATACTAGATAAAATTAACCATAGAAAGCAGGAGAAATGCAATACACAACCTTGCAATACCTTTCGGTGCAGCTTTCGTCTGACTGGAAACCATGGCAGCTGCTTCCGACGGCAGGCCAACATAGACACCTCCATAGTTCCTGGTTTAAGAAACAATTAAAGAGACATCATAGTTTAATCATCACACTTCTCCCTATAATGTCAACATCACGCAGCAGCATCACAAAGACCATGGATGGTCAAAGAAATGAGCACTCTGCGTGAGCACCCACAGAGGAGCCCTCCTTTTCCACAGACGTGGGAGAAGTGCATATTAAGTGCCACATCCTTGCTAATACGGTGCCAAGCAAAAACCCCAAAAATCCTTGAGGCCAGCTCTTATTCTTAATTGGGATCCAAACATGTGAAAGGAGCTATTTTTTTCACTCGAAAAAATTGAGTGAAAAATTATTTATTTATCATTATATTCCAGCTGTCTTGTGACAATAACCCCCACATGCCCAGCTTCTTCTAGACACTGAATATATCCAGCTGAGGACAGAGCTTATCTCACAGTGATGTTTGACATTGGGACCACCAAAGCATCTCACTTCAAAAAACACACACCAATTAAACAGCATTTTGACCTCATTAATAAATAGGATCTGCTTCCCCCTGCTTAGGGTCACACTTGCAGAAAACTGTTAGCAGGAAGAACCACACGGGTGTTAAGCAGTTTCATAGCCCTCTCCCCTTCAAAGCCTCACAGAGCATACTGTCTGGCTCTGAGGCCTGTATGAAAAGCAGGGACTAACTGATGCAGGGAGATAAAACTCTGAGTCCTCAAGAGCCTCTGCTGTGCCTGGAGTTACTTGCAGAGGCTCCCACTACACTGCTCTGCCCCATTAGATGCCAAATTAATCACATCTGCTTCAGCTCCTGGGGGTCTGAGTTGATTTCTAATTTGTTTGATGATAGGGTCATACTTCCTTCAACTTCCAGCCCTGCAGAGATCTCCCACAAATGCAAATGGCATTTCCTGTGGCAGGGTTGGTGTGAAGGCAGAGGCCTCTGGCCCTTATCCAGCACTTATCCATCACCTACTGCTGTGAGATAACGTGCTCTTTCTGCCACAAAGTTCCCATCTCCACAACTCAGTAACAGGGTGGGCAGACTTATCAATACCAGGCTCTGTGTGATATTTCCTCCTCTCTTGTCTTCTTTTTCTCTGCTTAGTTGGTGTTGGTGGGAACCAGGAAGGAAGGAAGGAAAGACCTACATCTGGTGGCAAAACTCAGTGCAGCCTGTCGCAAACAAAGCCAGCCCCAGTCGACTACCTACCTCCTTTTGTCATCATCTGATACAGATTCTTCTGCTCTGCAACATCAAAAGATACAAAGTACATTAGCAGATTGTTTCTTTCAGGTGCTCTATGGCCATCTGGAGTAAGGGAAGAAGGGGGTCATTACTGACCCCAGGTCATCTACTATTCAATAAAGTACTCACACAGGTATAAAAAGAGTGACAATTTTACAGTCGAATGTACAGAAGAAAGAAGGGATTGAGAATAGATGCAGCTTACTTTTCATGACCCCTACCAGTGATGCCTGAAAATAGATTTGGGAGCTGAAACAGGTAAATCAACACTTTTCCTCAACGAGTCCCCACACTGCTCCACACTTAGCAGGAGCAAGCCTGGCATCCTATTCCCCCAAAAGAGGACTGGAAGGCCCTGGGTATCCCTGCAGCAATGGGAGTGAGGATGAAGAGAGAGAAACTTTCACAGCAGCTGTGCCAAGAGCTGCTACAGGGCCTCTCTATAAAATGCAGTACTGCAATTCCTGAAGTCCGTTGTTTGCAAACCAAATCACTGGTATCAATCCCTCATAAATGGGCAATTACTTCTCTTTTATCTTCAGAATAAAATCATGGGTCAGTCTGTAGATAGACAGGGAGTCACTGAGGTGGGCATTATTTCTCCCCACTGAAATACTGCCCAGTGTAGCTGAACCAGAGCAGAGGGTAAAGTAATCAGCACTGATGTGAAGGCAAATGTAGTATGGAAAATATAAAAACATTGTTCTTACTCCCTCAGGTTATAGTGCCTGTGCTGCAGTCTCAGTCTGTGCCTCAACCTCAGTCTTTACCAAAATCACTCACCCACCTTTATTAAATATTTGGATTTTGAGCTCTGCTTGCATGGCTGGGTATGGTTGGGGCAGCAGCTGCACTTCAGCTTGGTCTGTAACCTACCAACCTAGCAATAAAAATAGAGGCAAGATAACTTGAGTGCCTTTCAGTCCATAGACATCCTTCACTCCTTCCCTACAGCTGGGGGCAACTATGACAACTGCCCAAGAAGGAATCATGCACTGCAGGAGCTCAGGGAGCCAAGAAATATGGCCACAGTGGTGCCTCAGGGAAGGCTGCAAAGAGTGAAGGTGCACCACGACCCAAGGAGGGCTCTGCTGTGGAAGTGCTCATGCACAGGCTGTTCATCCATTGAATATTCCCATTAAAGGATTAATTGCCTGGACCATGGGAGCAAAGCAAAGTTACTCCCCCATCATGAGCTGATCCATGCATTTCTGATTTGCTCCCAGGCAATAAAACTGAGAGCTGGCCTTTACCCAGCATTACGGCTAAATCCATACTGTAGGCATTTCTGAACTATGATCTTGAACAATAATATACAATTTTCTTACTGTAATTTATTTATCCTAAAAGGTTCACGTGCCTACTGTTTAATCGTTGGGGCTGTATGCCCCTATGGACCCATGAGGTCGAAGGGATTTTGGTCTGAAGTGCAGGGAGCTCATAGCAAGATGAAGTCTTAAATGCAAGAAAACACCCTTAAAACTCATTCAGCACTCTTCTGAGAGAGTAGCAAATGCCTTAAAAATACTGCTACAAGGTGGAAATCTTCTTACATCTACTTTCTTTCTAAGTGGCAGAACATTAACGACTATCCTTTTTGCATCAGCACAGTGAATAAGGGTACACAGGTCTTTTTAATAGTAGAGGTTTCAGGTAAATCTAATTATGCTGCCATTTTGCTAAATGATATTCGTGCAAGGCATAGCACTGGGCATCCTCATCTGCTGTCTTTGTCTACATCTCACCACTCAAGAGAGACTGAGCAATAAACTCATCATTCTCTAGCTCTTCCAGAGAAGAATGACAGGAGGGCCAGTGCCATTTCAGAAGGCATCTCACATCTCCTGTGACCCCACGAGGTAGCCTAAGTCACCACAGAGTCCTCACACACACAGCCAGAAGAATGCAGAGACAACTTTCCTTGAAGGCTGTGAAACTGCTCTGTCCTACCGTGGTCCAGTTTCTCCTGAAGAAAATGGAAAGCATGTGTATATTAATGGGTAGAAATGAGGATGTATTTTTAGGTTAAAAAAAAAACAAATAAACAAGCAAATACTACTTCAAGGAAGGGATTTTGAGTGCCAAAAGATCACAATTATTTCTGTTGAACCAACTGAATGTGTCACAGGATTGATTTTCTCATACAGCTGGGAACATTTTCTATAATCCAGATTAACTACTGTCCAGGGAAAAGAATCCTTTAAAAGCACTGACAACTTCATACACAATTCCTCTAAAAGAGACTTGTAAGAATAATAATCAATATTGTCCAACAGGAAATTAATGTTTTAAAAAAAAATTCTACTAGGCAACAGGGCTATTTTCTTCTGTTCTAGAAATGTTTTGTAATGGGGTATCACTGACCATTATTGTCAGTCTCTCACCAAAACAAATTATCCAGGTCTGTGATTTAAAAGACAGAGTTTTTTAAACAGTTTGCTTTCTTCCTTTCCTCTTAATAACTATAAATCAAAGTCTATTTTTGCAATACCTTTTCCTTCAAATGTGCAACAGAAAAAAATTATGTGGGTTTGTACAGACCATAGCTCTTGGGCTGGGTAATGATCGGGTGCAAACTGTTGTAGTCCTGCCAGGAAAGAGGAGGTGAGCAGAGACAGAAGGAATGTGGAAGTGTGAAAAGGAAAAGAAAGAAAAAAATCTCTTGATGGCACTTAAGGAAGAAATCATTTTCCACACCTTTCTGGGGACTCCTTTCCAAGCAGCATGAGAAGGAGTGCTGCTCCTGTTTATTTATGACACATATTCACACACCTCTTGTCTTCACACACTGTGGCTCAAGGGCCTGTCTTGAAAGGAGCCAACTAATTTCACATGTTCAAATGTCTGCTGAGCCACTGCTTCTGTGCCCAGGCTGGGTGAACACAGATGGCTCCGGGGAACAGAGCTACAATGGCAACACTGGACCACATGGAAAAGAGAATGGGAAGAAGCTCCCTTAGTTTTGGCAGTGTTCCCATTGCCACATCTACTGGACTCACAGAGAGCATATAGGATATGGAATTCCAACCGTTCTCCAGGGAGAGCAAGCTAGGATAAGCTTTTCCGCACCAGGAACAGACAGCAAAAGGAACTTAATAGTCCAATGTGCTTCATGCTGATCTGCTGCTGTATTGCTGCCTCTTCCCTCAGATGTTGTTGACTTGTTCTGCAGAAGAACCAAGAGCACAGCTTTCAGCAGGTAGTGTGGGCAGAGTCCTGTAGCCAGATTTAACAGCAAATCCACATAATGGCATTGTATTTTTGGCTGAATAAGTGTTTCTTTTGGTAGGGTTTTGTCTATCCCAAGAGGCTTCCTGTCACCCAAAGTCTGAAAACCACGCTTGGTTCAATTGTCAGCTTTTACATTCATCAATCCTATGTCCACTTGATGGCAAAAGAAGCTGCCATTTCTCACCCAATATTTTAAATATCAAATGACAGGCATTCACGTTAATTCATTCCATCCATATTCTTCTTACCTCAGCTTTTATGGCTCTGTTTGTGCTGAGCATTATACAGACTCTTTCTAGCTATGCTCAGTAGTCCCACCAGCAATGATTCACTAAACTTTGCACAAGTGACACACAACTACTCCTAAGATTCTCATTGTTTCTTGGGAAAAAGGGCCTGTCATTTGTATTTGATGGATTTCCTCCAAATATTTTGAAACAAGCTTGAACTTCTGTGTCCTTTTCTTCCTACTGTTACTAATCTTCCCTTAGACTTACCCACACTCTGAATACCACAGGCATTGCAATACTTTCTGGCGTATACTTTACCCTCGCTATATCTGAGCTCTTCCAGTTAGCAGCAATGTACTTTTCCTTATTAGTGGGGCAGGAGCACAGGCTGGAGCTGGATGACAGATTCTGGGTTGGAGCACGCAGTGGAAACACATTCTCAGACTCTACGTCCTTCTTGTCGCCACACAGCCCTCAGCCTCGCAGAACTTTCCATATGAAGATCATATCATCATCCCCATCCTATTGGTGGAGAAACTCAAGGCCCAGAGGGCAAAGCAGCTTCCCCACAGTCACTCAGGACGGCTCAGAGCAGGATCCAGCCCTCCCGCCTTCCACCTGGCTGCTCACTCCAAGAGACACTGGTGCCTTGGCAATGAGTCACAGTCATGAAATGAGAAATCTCTTAACTAGATTCTGTATCAAAAAGCATGCTGTAAGTAAGGACACACCTAAATGCCTTTCTGAATCGGAATCGATATGACTGAAATTCGATGGCAAAAAAAAATAAGTTTTTTTAAAGAGAAACTTTTCATTTTTAGCTGATGACAGTAAAAAGATGTAAAATAAAACCTTTTGTGGATCTATAATGTTAGTTAATATACATCTGCTTGGTCATTACTATGAAACCAAAATAATTTTTCTGGTATTTTTCTTCCTTCACAAAAATCTGCTGTTAAATATTAGAATTTAAGGCTTTTGGGTCATCACTACCATTCCTGATTAGCAAATCTGTGTTTCTAATGTCTGACAAGAAGGTTCAACCACACTATTACTCACATGGGTTGTTTGGCTGGCTCTACTAATCTTAATCTGAATGATAACCCTGAGATTAGCTCAGTTGCTTAGAGCATGTTGCTAATGACCAAGGTTGTGGGTTCAGCTCCTGTATGGGCCAGCTACTTGAGTTGGGCTTTGATAATCCACATGGGTCCCTTCCAACTCAGAATACTCTGTGAAATTTCTGAGTTCTGAGAGTAATGGCTCCAGGACTGACCCTTTCACTTTGTTGAAAACTGCACTAGTAATTATTTTTTTTCTAAGTTATCTCAATACTAATTTGAAGCATGACAGACGATCTCACACTAATAAGTAGGATGCTCTCATTTTAACCCCTGAAGCCTGGCCCTATAAACGCTTACACACATAAAAACACAGTTCTCTACATCCCTATACCTTAAAAACACAGAAACATGCCTACTAAATTCATAATTTAACAGTGCTTGTGATTTCGGAATTTAAAACTATCGATAGCAAAGAGAGAGATGCAGTTCTAAGTCAGTCCTTAAATCATCCAACTTGAACAATAAAAAAGGCCCTAATATAAATAAAATTAGTAGGTTTATATATTTAGAAGTGCTGAGGGCATGGATGGTGCAGGCTGCATCAAGAAGATGCTCCTCACAAGACTTCCTTCTGTCATTTATTTATTGTCTGGCGCTGCAAACCCAGAAAACAGACTGCATAGGTAACACAGATCTCAAGAGGATCTCTGACAACAGTGTTCACCAGCCAAGTGACACCCACTGTTAGTTCTCTGCCATGCTCTCTAATAGCAAGGATAAGCCTGTTGTTAAGCTCTTCTCTCCACTTGTTTATCTGACTCAACAGCCCTCATTTCTACACCAGGATTCCTCTGTCTAATTAGAGTACTTATTCTAAGCGAAGTAAATAAAACAGAAGAATGTTCCTATTGCATAATCTTTCCCAGGTCCCTCAGTTGCAAACTCTAGTGGAAAATACTAATTATATGAAAGAGAACACAAGACCTCGGGAGGAGTTCTTTAATGTTTCCTTCGATAGAAAAATAAATTTATGGCTGAATAAAGCTGTTCCTGTATGGTTCTGCATCAGCAAATGAAAAATGGGCTGAGAAAAGTTGATTTTTCACTGCTGCCTTTCTGAAAACCTGAAGTTGGCACGAGGCAATAGGACAATAAAGATCAGACCTTGCACATTTAGAGAAAAACAGGATGGGTAGGGCTCCCTCTGCTACCCAGTGTCAAGAGGATAGATACTATCTTTAATACAGAGAACATCTAGAGAAGGTGGGTACTTTGAAAAGGAAATTGGATGGATTACTGGGTCTCATGCAAAAAGGAGAAATTTGTCTCAGTAGCTCTTTAAATCTCTCACTGGGTCTGGTAGAAATTCCTGTGGTTGCTTCACACGATTACAAGGCCTTGGGAAAAAGGTGTACTGGCACATGATGACGAAAAGCGGTCTGAAGCAACCACCTTGCTAAACAACTATCTCAACAGAAGCAGACAAAAGACATTTTTTTTAGAGAAATAACAAGGGAAGAAATCAGTAGAAAAGTAAACAAGACAAGGAGTTGTTTTGCGGAGATGGAAGCTGTCACTAAAGACAGTAAACATCTGCTTGTGTTGATTATATGTTAGGAGCCAGATGAATCATGTATGACTAAAGTATAAGGCTAGTAGGACTGAAAATAAATCCAGGGTAACATACTTGAAAGAGAAGAGTAGAGTAAGTACTTACACATCTTTAGTAGTCCCTGTAGCACCTAGGAAAAAAAAAAGTACATGTTTACCAGATAATGGCATAATCCTCTAAAGCAAACAACAGCACAGTAAGCATTTCTCTTTGTCTTAAACAATGCAGAAAGAGCAACAGAACTTTGCTATTGTCAAAGAGTACATTTCTCATGATTGTTCAGTTTATCCTTAATGCTTATCCATACTATCCCTTAAGTCTATCACGCTTAGATCTCAGTGTGTGAAAATTATCCTGCAGTGGACCAGTGCTCAGGTACAGTCACTCAAGATGAGAGCAACATAAGACAAAACTAATCTTTCTGAATTTTATATGCTTTGCTTAGTCTTCTGATGGTTTGGTCTGCTACAAAGTTGACACAATTAACCAAGTGGTTACTCCCAAATGCCTGCTTATTCTGCCATTTGTAGAGTTGGCATTACACGTGTAAAATGATGCTTTGTTCTTCCTGCCAGATAAACAAAGTTTTATAAAAAAAAAAGAAAAAGCTACCACATGGCTGCCTGGTCTCAGTGAGTTATCTTTTTTTTTTTTTGGTAGCTCAGATGCTTCTTGCTGGGAGAGAAACATTCACTGAAGCACAAACTCTTTCCTGTTCCTCCCAAGTCATTAATGCCATGTTGCCCTTTCTGGTATATAATTCATCTGAGTAACCAGCAAATTATCCCTTCTATTAATTACACAAGCTAGGGCAGACATTAGAAAACCCTTTCACTTCTCCTTTCCTACTTAGCAATAGGTGATCCGAGCTCACTCTGAAGAAACTCCAGTTGTCAATACAAAAGATTTTATGAGTTTTGGAAGTAAGTTGGGTTTTTTTTCAGCCATGGTACTTCATTTCTTGAAACACTTTTATTTTTCCTGGGCTGAAAAATATACATAAATAGCAAAATCTTTTTTCTCTCTGATGTGTAAGGATATGTCTTCTGCATTCTTATTTTAAAAGGAAAGAAGAAGAAGCAGTCCTGCAAGGCTTTCCAGCTCTGTCTACCTGAACGGATTGCTTGAATGGCAGGAAACATCGCCTTTTACAGCTGACTCCTGAACATAATATCATTCTCATTTCCTATGACCTGACTATCCCTCCTTTTCCCAGTAACAACATAGACTAGACTTGTATAAGACTGTACACATTTCTTCCATTAGTCTTGCTTCTAGAGTCAGTAAAATCTCAGTACAGCTACATGTATCAGCAGAAACTCTTAATTAATTTGGAGAGAGGATCTCTATTCACAATGAGCTCAGGTCCTTGCTTTAAAACTTTATTCTACCAGGCAGCCTTCTGAGACTTTCTGGCTTTACAGGCACGTCTATAAAGCACTACATGGAAACCTTTCAAATTAATTGTGTCCAGGTGGAAAGTTGGCCTTGCAATGCTCCATGCAAGCTCAATCTCAGCTGATGCAGGGAGGCATTTTCTGCTACCACGGCTACTTCATCTAGAGTCAGCTCAGCTATGTACCTTCAGGGCACCCCCCTGCACATCTAGACAGAGCCTTGGTATCAGCAACACTTCAGACAACATGGGTTTTGAGAAGCCTAACTCCATAGCTGGAGCTAGCAGGATTTTTAATTTTTTCCAGAAGAAGCTATTCCTGTGCTGTGCCTGTTCTGCACCAGAACCATGACTTTCTTATTTTCTTAATCTAAGCTCACTGCGTTAAACTCAGTTTCTCCAAAAAAGTTCATAGTCCTTTGCCAAGACTTTTCCGAGTCTAAAATCTCAGCACTTAGATCCCCACTTGAAAAACTAATGTCTTCCTTACAGGAAGCATACCAAAAGTGTTTAATACACAAACTGAAACCTTAAGATGAGTGAGAAGAACTGTGTGCCTACAGTACTGCTACGTTTCCCAAAGGTGATACTCAAGTTCCAGTCAATCACCAGGCACTGCCCATGCCCAGTGCCGTGCCCATGTTCAGTGCCATACCTGTCTTCAATGCATTACGGTAACGTACATTCTCACTCTGGGGACAGCAGATGTCACTCAGACCCATCAACCTGGGCTTTGGACAGACCTATACAGTTATGAACCTGTGTTCGGAAATGTGCCACTTGCATTCGCACGTGGCAGCATTTGCTTCCTTTGAACGTGAGTGAGGGTACCACTGCTGAAAAAAAATCACTGCAGCATTTTGAAATGCATTTCACACGAAAACACCGAGAACCAAGTACAACAAAAACAAATCCACTTTTAAGAGATCACTTTTACATATAATAAGAAATACATTGTTTTCTACTTTTTTATAAGCACAACAAAACAGGTTATCCTCACTTTCATTGACGGGATTCCACTGATTTCAGAGGTGTTATTTCTCATTTTCACTAGCAAAAGTGAAACAAGTGTTTGGTTCAAATTCACTCAAATACCACTGAAGTGTTTGACTATACATTTGAAAGTATTTCCAGTTCAGAAAAGAGTTTTCTTCCTGCAAGAGTTCTGAGCTTGCAAATGAACATAATTTTATGGAGGTGGCCCATAAAAAAATATCTGTGTAAAAACTTAAAGGTTTTCTTCACTAAGGAGTCTGAACCCTACTTATACACAGATATTACTTCACAAGGAACCCAATAACATCTCAGTTTATACAGACACGTTTGTTTATAAAGTTCAATCTGTTCACCCTCACCCCATTACTTCACTGACATATTTGTCTAACTCTTGCATGTTTAGTGAGCAACACATAATTTTACAGCTACTCAGGTTCCTTCTGCCAGAAGTTCAGCCAAAGAATCTTGTTTACTATCAATCCACAAACACTGTATAGCTGTTCCACAGCAGCAGGACTCAGTGCTCTCAGAGACATAATGTTTTAGATATATGACTTGAGAAAAGCCTCACATATTTGAAAGCCTGTCCATTTTTTCCCACTGTATCAGCTTGGCCTAAAAAAAGGCAGTACTTGACCCTACAAACCTTGTCTTGATAGGCTTTTGTTCATTTGGTTTCCCAAAACCTGCCTAACCTCAGCAACAGATTGAAGAGCAGCCAGGAAGCTGCATCTACAAAAAAATAGGCAGTACTGAATTGTCCTCAATGACCTCTCTGCTCACACCATCTACAAAGCAGGACCGTGGATGTATTTTGGAATTTTAGAGCTGCAGAAGGAGGAGTACAGCCTGCAGAATAAACGAGGCCCATTCAGCCACGTATTGCTCTAAGCTCAAGTGATTACAGAAGAAAAACATTCTGCCTAGAGTAGTAGAGCTGTGATCCCTCAAAAGACCCCACAGTATTTAAACAGTCACAAATCAAGAAGAACAAGAACGTATTCCAAAGCATCTTCCATTTGGTGAGAGAGAGTTCTGAACTTTCCAAACAACAGCAGCTGCTGTTTGTGACACTGCGGGATTTCAGTAAATGCAGGCCAAGTGCAAAAGGTGGTTGAAAGACATTGACAGCCACAGACGATATTCCTCTGGGCTGAGAAATGCATCATGAATGGAGGTGAAAGAAAAAAGCTTTAGAAGAAACAAAAAGTATAAGAGGCAACCACTCATATGAAAAAAAACCATGGATACAAAAAAATGCCAATATCTGACTTTAGAGCAGATTATGAAACATTTTCCCATTATTTTTTAATGAACAAAATTTTCTTGTATGTAATTCAAATCGTTACAAAAAGCAAATAACCCCCCCCCAAAAAAAAAATTACACGTACATCTATGCAACTGTTAAGATTAGAAATGAATTTTCTACTGTAGGCTCTTTTCTGATATGCTCCAAAAGTCAGCAATACAGAATCAAGTCCTAACATCAATAAATTTATTCTATTTATACCCCACATTAACTCAGGACAGAATTATATCAATTTACTTCAAATTGATTACTTCAACTCATCAGGTGGGAGTTCTGTACACAGATTTGACCTGATCAATAGAATGGCAGAACAATTTCCTGGGCATTCCACCAAACTTGAAGTTAATAAATCTGTTTAAACTTCGTGTGAAAGCTATTTTTGAGCTTCTAAAACACCAGGAAATAACATGAAAGAAGGATATGTAAAGTGAGGCAACAAAACATAATGAAAATAGCAAGTTGGAAAATTAAAAAAAAACTAAGTATAATCCATAGTTAGCACATAAACTAGCCAGGTGATTTAAGAAGGATGTGTATACATCAGTTTACTTGGATAACTGAAGTTGCCATTTCTCAATTCAGGAGCTTTTTGCCACTGTCTGATGCTCTGGGAAGAACATGTAAACTCTGTGAGTTATGTTGGTGTTCTGGAGTACTGCACCACAGACAGAAATGTTATTCTAGATCATGTCTATTAGTTTAGATCTTACAGACCATAGGGCTGATAGCTTCTCTGATGTCATTCTAGCCACGCAACAGAAGATAATATGATTAGATGAACTATCACTATATACATCTACTTAAGAAAAATCAAGCTAGGCTACAACAGGAATTTTACCAAAGTAAGAAATGGGGACTGGCGTAACACATTTAATGTATTCTGTGAAGTACACTACAATATTGTCCTTAGTCTTATGATATGACAGAGTGTTACAGGTTAATTACATGTTATGTACCTGTAGCTTTGACATTACTGACTGTAGAATAGTCATAACTTTAGCACTAAAGATGTAGTCATGCTGTGCATGCCACAAAATTAATTTGCATTTACACAGTATTCATACCTTTTGGTAACATACTGAGTTGCACTTTCATTAAAAGCTCAAGGATTCAAAATAAAAATGGTACATCTTCTCCTTCCCCTATATAAAATAATTTTTATTAGACACACTTTGTAAGGAATGCTAAATAAAGCAAATAAATAGTAGACATCTGACATCTTATTTTTATTACCAGTTGTTTGTTGTTTTAAGACCATAGACTGCATGGAGTACTTTCTGACTGGCAGTGGTGAAAGTGAGAAGAGAACTGGACCCTTCAGAGCTGCATTTGCTTTGGAAAAGTCTACCAGTGCAACAGGAATAATTCCCATATACTAATGATGTGTTTTACATGGCATTATTTTTTCACGTGCACTAAGCCATTGGAGTTCTGCAGGCTATTTCTAAAGAGCAGTTCAAATATTTTATGAATGACAGTGTAAGTTTAACTATTGAAGGGGTCGTACCTTCAGTGAAAATACTTTATTAATCTACAAGCCAAAACCTGAAAATATCTGCCTTTAATGCAACAGGACACATTTAAACAAACTTTTTGTTCAAAATATTTTGCTAAATAACACCACTGTCAGAGTAAGTCTATTTGACATTTACCCATTTGTATCCTGGTACAAGTCCCACAGGGTGGCCAGATCAACATTACTTTAGAAACTATCACAAAGGGACTAATAATGAACTCACAATTTTCCTCTGAACTTCTCTGAAGCTTGCACTGGTGCTTTCACCAAGGAAGCAGAAATGGGATGTGAACAAGGATCACCCCAGTGGTATGAAGCTAGACTTGTCACATACAGAAAGAACTTCCACTCACCACAATGCAGGAATCAACTAATGGGAGATAATTCATGTGTGCAAACAGGACAGCTCCAATAAGAGCACAAAGTTCAAGCAAATTCATATAGTGCATTCTTTATGGATGAGAGAAGCCTCTGATAGATACACATGATACCTAAAACCTAATTTATAATTGTTTAATAGAAATCAAGTAAGCAATAAAGGCAGAAAAGCCATTCTTCTGTGAGCATGAAGTGCAGAGTTTAACAGGTATACATATGTACAACTTGGAGAAGGTATCATCATTCACAGGCATGACCAAGTCAGGACTAGCACCACCCAAGGCACCACTGAAGCTCTGGATAAAGTAAGTCAAAGCAGTAAGAGATGCAGACACAGTAATTCTAACTGGTCTGGCCACTGTTTTGCTGTGTATTTGAATGACTTAATACTGGAACAGGTGGCAATGTTTGTCAAGTGCATTTAGGATGAAAAATGATTGAGAAATGTTCATATTATAATTACATGGCAAAGGTCCACTTATCAGTTTCCATGTACTTTCCTTTTCTGCCGGGACTGGGGGGAGGAAGAGCACAACAGCACCATCTTCCCCGATCTTATCTCTTTTGAAAACAACAATGAACAAATAAGGGGGCCGGCTGGACGAAACAGCCAGCCGTACATATTAATATGCATGAAACCTCTATCATGGAATATCCTCCAACTTCTCCGACAAGCAAGGAGAAGATGTGGCACAAATTCATTTCAGAAGTGGCATTCGTGGCCTTATAGGGAAGCAAAGAGGATGGAGCTTACACCCTCAGCGGGATCCTTATGTCCAGTTCCCGGCCTGGGCTCTCTGTGCCTTGGGCAGCTCCTGTCGGAGGTGCTGATTCTAGCGACAACTGGGCACCAGAAAACCGCCGGTGCCCCCGGCAGGCCATATCATCCTCTGTCCCCTGGGCAAAGGGATCAGGTTCGGGAAAGGAAGATGCTCTTGCAAGAGGGCGGGCAGCGATACCCGCGGCTCGGACGGGCATCCCCCAAAACAGCGTCTGTAGCCCCACGGCGGGTGGGTGTGTGCCCGCCGCGGCCCCCCGACCCGCAGCCTCCCGACCCGCAGGGCTGCCCAAGGCGGGGATGCTCCCGCCGCTGCCCACCCACCCACCCAGCCCTGCCCGGCCGGCGCCGCCCGCCCGCCTCCCACCGCCGCCGCCGCCGCCCTACCTCGCCCGCCCGCGCCGCCGGCCGTGGAGTTGCCGCAGCCCATGGGCGCTGCCCTGCCCGGCGCTGCGCCCGCCGGTGCGCAGGGAGCGGAGCAGAGCGGTGCCGGTGCGGTGCGCTGCCGGTGCGGTGCGGCGACGGGAGGCAGCCGGCGGCGGGCGGAGCCGGGTGGGAGATAAAGCCGCGGGGACCCCTCCTCCTCCTCCTCCTCCTCCTCCTCCTCCATTCCCCACCCATCGCCCGGGAAACCGCCGGCCCCGGGCGCCGCCACCCGGCACCAGCCCCGGCCCCTCACCGCATGCCCTCACCGCATCCCCTCACCACACCCCCTGTTCGTCCCCGAGAAAGACCACCCCCCGCCTCCCCGGCTTTCCCCTCGTCCGGCCGGCCTGGAGCTGTTAGGCGGGAGATATGGCTCATTGCAGCACAAGCCTGCAGGACTTCTAACGATCCCCGCCCAGAGCCCACCCTGGGCAGTGGAGATGCTCCTTGGCTCACGCGTTTCATGGGAGCTTTGAGACACCCCTCATTCACCACGAGAAACACCAGCGTGACCACAGGTCCCGGCTGGGAACCCTACATCTGCTATCAATAACATCCCAGTCACTATTTTAAGCAAATATTTGTTGGTTGGTTTCAGTATTTCTCTTCTTATAAGAAACAGGACGGCGAAACTGGAGACCCACTGGGTTGGGGCTGCAGATTTGTTTTTCCCAATTAATATCAACAGCACCAAGAAAAGTGCAATATAAGTTCATTTTCATTGAACATTTGCATAATTTACCAAAAAGAATTTGACTTTCTGCTAACCCAAACTTGTCTTTCAGACATAGAAGTAAAATACTTCAAAACCTTGATGGTTTGCATACTCTTACTCTGTCCTCTTAAATGACCAGTGAGCTGAAACCCAACAGATACGTTCAGATACAACTACAAATACTCTGGATGGATAGATATTACTGCTACAATGAATTTGTTCAACGGTTTACAAAGATGCTTTAGTAGTGCACATGACTGATAATTGTCCACTACAAAAGGACCAGATATAAAGTGTTGCTGCCTGATCTTGCAGTCTATTCAGAGAAGGGGAAAAAAAGACATCACAACTCTCTTACAGACTTGCCAAAAAGCACATGTTAAAACCAAGCAATTCCATAAGCAGCAGAGTCAATAGCATCCAGTCTCCTATGGATTTTTGCCCTGAGGAGGCACACCTATATGGCTCCCTGATGTCCACCTCGGAATAGGGTGGGCATTTGTAGGGTCTCCCTCCTCTGGCTTGCCACCTATTTTCATGTCATTTGTAGAAAGTCAGTATTTTCAGGGTCTTTGTCTATACCTTTCTGACAAATTGCCTGAATCTGAACAATCAGTTTACAATTTAATAAGACAGAACTAACAGGCATGGCCACACAACTTCACCACCTCCAGCCTCCAAGTAGACAGCAAGAACAATTGTGTGCATTTTGCACACAAAGGTTCACAGCGACCTCTTTTTGATGGCCAGTTTTCTGAAATTCGCACATAGAAAAATAAACCCTCAGGCCAAGCTTTCAAGCGTCAAGTATCAGCCCAAAGTGAATTTTTAATGGCAGAGTTAGGAAGGAAGAAAGGGTGCTCTGAAAGCAAGGCTGAAAGACCTGCTGCTTAAGATCACGTGGTTTTCTAATATAAAAACAAACAAAAAATCCCAGCAACCCACACTGACCATAGACTTGCCACATCTTGAAGTATCTATAAACACGTTTTTAATATATAATTTACCTTGGAGGAAGTAGTTGTGGTGAGCACAGAAACCGAGCCATGTCCTCACACATTAGAAGAGGCAGCTAGGAGGCAAAAATCCCCTGGAGATGCCTTGACCCCAAGCCATTGCCCTGGCCACAAGGATAAGATATAAGACTGATTCAGGAACCTGCAGTAGTATTAAGGATGAGAGAAAGATACTGTAACTTCTAAGCACTCTCACTCCTCTTGTGCATCATGCACAAGCCAAGCACCCTGTGCGCACAAACTAAGGGCTGCATGAAGTTCAATAAGGCAAGAAACTTCCAGCACACCCATCCAAAGCTGAAGTTAGTAGCACTTCCAGGAGATTTAAGACAAAGGAAATGTGATGTATTCCTCTATATACTGTCTGGGACTGTAATGAGTCAGCCCCTCTCTTGACAGCTCTATTGTAGGTGCCTCCTACTTCAAATGAGAAGACATGCTTTAGTTTCAACTTTACTTGTTTTACACAAACAGAGCATTTCACTTTATTACTGAAAATAACTGGTAGCAAAATATAGTCACATAAGCAAGTTAATTAAATGAACACTTTATATCAAAGGAAAGGAGCAGTGTGTTCCCTGCACCAGCAAACTCTCAGTGTCTGCCATCACACACTCTGCGTAATTCATCTCCTCTGAGGAAGACTGGGAGATGTATGGATCCAAGTATTTCAGAAGGTGTAGTGAGAATTGTTATTGTCTCCCTAAACTTTACCCGGCTTGGAAAACAGATTGGTTAATGGAATTATCCAAATCTGAAATTCCAGTGATTTTCTGGTTTTGGACATTTTTGCTAGTCTGAGTGTTTGGAATCCAAACAATCTGTCCATCAAGCTGGTATGTAGGTCTATGGAAAAGAATTTTTAAACCCCATAGTTACTTCCTGGTATTAGGGAACAGCCCTTATTAGCGCAATAATATATACTTTTCCCAATCCTTTTTTATCTAAGTATCCATATAGAAATTTTATTCACTCATCATTTTTTTCTAACAAAACATTTGCTTCCAAAGGCTTGGATCTCAGCCCATGTAAGTATAAGAGCTGGACTTTGATAATCCTTGTGGGTCCCTTCCATCTCAGGATACTCTATGATTCTATATTATTCTAATTACCATGACTTCTTTTGAAGAGTGTCTTTTACATATGGATGTTCTCAAAACCACAGATGTCCTGAAAAAATGGTCAGTTCTTCATCAGTAGTTAGCATCCTGAGATAAATTTTTTCCTAATTAAACTTACAACAGGAATTCCATGTAGACCAAACCTGCCCTCTTTAAGAGTTGCACTACAAATCTGTGGTCAGAGTTAAACAATGCAACCACCTTGTTCATGGTAGATTCTCAGTTCCAGTGTTTTCATGTTCTAATTTCAGTGTTCTCAGGTTACCTTGTATTATGTTTCTCCCTGGACTGTTACAGTCTTGCTACAGCACTGTTGTTTTATAGCTAGCAACCTCAGCTTGTAGTTTTCACTGACTTGCTCAAATGTCATAGCGCTGCATAGATAGCAGTTGTGATCGCTTAAGGACAGAGAGTTACAACTCAATTTCCCAGTAAACCTGCAGGGATCATTCTGCTTTAAAAATTCAGTAGTCCAAGCCCCACTCTAACACAAAAAAAAAGCACTCTTGGGTCAGCTGGGGGTTGTTTGGTTTTACATATCAGGAAACAAAGCCCGATATATCAAGATATTAAATTATTTTCATTGATATTGGGGGGGAATCAAGAATTTATTAGTAAAAGCTATCATGATTTCACAATCCTCAAAGTTGCTCACTACTTGGCACTGGGAACATTTTATTCTTAATAAAAAGGGTTAACAAATTTGGCTTGGGATACAGAAGCCAAATGACAATTATAACAAAACCCAGAAGCCAAAAAAAGAGAAAAAACGTACAACCCCCCCTACTTCTACAGTATTTCTTAGTGACACTTACATTGTGAAAGCACTTGATCACACCAGTCTGACCCCAACTGTGCAAGGTACCATCTGGACGTATAATGAATGTTCTTCCTTGCTGGCAGTCAGAAAGACAAGAAATAGCTGATGGGTGAGATAATAGAGAAGCCAAAGTAGGAAGCAGTGAGATAGCATTACTATTTTAAAAAAGGATGTGCCTAACAAGAACATAAAAAAGAGCTGTATCAGGTCAAAGGAAAGATTCACCTTGTTCAGGATCCTGTCTCTGACAGCATCTGAAAGAACATAGGAAACTCATATGGTAAATCCCCCTCCCAAACTCTCCCATCTTCCAGCACTTGCAGATCATAGTCTGCCTGAGACAGACATGGTTGCAATCCTTAACACATTTGTCTTCTATAAACCTGTCCCACGCACCTTTGAACCCACATAAGCCCCTGGCACCCAAAGCATCCTGTGTTCCACTTCTCAGCCACATGTGATTTGAAGAACCTGCTTCTGTTTGCTTTGAGCCTGGCTCTTGCCCAGTCTAGCTGTTGATGGTTTGTTCCTTGTATCAGGATAAACATCGAAGAATCAATTCCCCACTTCACACCATTCATGATTTTTGTTCTTCGTAGTGGAATAAACACCAAAGAACCAATATGCCATGTCCCCTATCCTAATCTTTAGTTAGCAGCAGTGATAGCGAGTTGTCATTTTCTGGCAGTTGATCAATAGGTAGTTAAAATACTCTGGGAGAGATTTTCTGCAAAAAGATTTAGAAACCCCTTTCTACAGGCTAGATTCTGCTAGTAACACCAAGTTTATGCAAGAAGCAGTGCAGGGACCCTTGCATGCTTTTCCTACCAGAGCCTTATCATAATTCATGCAGACAGTCCCTCCTTGCACTCCTTGTTAGCAACGAGAAAATGTGATAAAGAGCTTTCTATACCATTCCCCTCTTCCTTTTTCTGGCTGCCTGGGAACTCCATGCTTACTGTGGGAGCTTCTCAGCACAAAACCCCAAACTCCTCTGAGCTCTGAGCTGGTTCCACATAACATTATTTAATCACGGCAACACAGCAAGGAACAGAATCAACTGCAAGAACTTAAGAGGAAAAGCAATTTGTCTTCCTCCTAGCAGTGATA